AGTTCTTATAGAACTGGAAATTCGTCACAAGCAGATAATCAGTCTCTTCCAATTCCCGGAAGCCCATTATATGAGGAGTTTAAAGCATTTTTAGAATCAAAAAAGGAAAATATTCCTAGCTTCGCCCAAATGATCACAGATGGTGAAACCATCAACGATAATTTTGAATATAAGGAATCATCTCATAGAGATACTATTATTATCTTAGAACATAAAGATATAATGCTTTATTTTGAAAATAATGATGATCCATGGTTTTTAATGACAAGATACTTGGATACAGCAACATACGCTGGATATTCTTATAAACAAAGATTATATTATGAGAATATTTTGAAAATAACTGGATCAGTTGAGTTTTCTCATTTTACATCCGGAGGTAATATCAGTGTTTACAATTTTAGCAAAGCCATTATCAAAAAAGATCATATCACCTGAGGAATGGGGATTGAGTACCCTTAAAGAAAAAGAGTTTATACTCCCTCCTTCGAAGATACCTATGAAATTTACATACTGGGATTATATTGAAAGCTTTCATAAAGCCTTCCTATATGAGAACCCTCAAAGAAAACATACTTGGTTCTTTAAAGTATGTGAAAAGGTTTATAACCAAAGTAAAGAAATACCAAATTGGTTCAGTAATTGGTGGATCTCATATGGCCCAAGTATATATATTCTCCCTGAGGAACCATTTAGAAAATTATATGGGGAATGGTTACCCGTCTCTCCTAGATACCAAAACCAAGCCGTTCCTTTGAAATCAGAAGGGTTGGAAGCAATATCTTCCATGCATTTTTTCATGGAATTTTCTATTCCGTGGATTTGGAAATGGTCCCCACATGTAGATTATACTCCCTCCAAATTTCCTTCTCTACAAAGGTCATATTTTACTAAATTCTGGCCTAAAATGCTTCATAAAAATCCAGAAACAAAAATTCTTAATGCACAGGAAACAATTGATCATATCAATCAGCAAATTAAGAAATACCAAGACCAGAAAAAATTCTCGGAAATAGCCTCTGGGACAGAAGCAGCCCCCTCAACTTCTCAAAAGGTCAATCTAACTAAAGAAGAAATAATCAAGTCATTCAGGTTATACTGTTCTGAATTAGAAGAAAACCTTAAAAGGTTTACAAAACATGAAAATGCAAAAGATGAAGGTTCAAGTGAAGATATTTCAGATAATATGTCAGTTGATAACCACAGCCAAACACAGTTTTTAGGGGGAGAATCCCAACCAGATGATGAAGGATTTCCAGAAGAAGACCTCCCCATTGATTGCATGATTGACATGATTGAGGAATCAATCACTCAAAGAAAGAATCTTTCCAAGACAAAAAGGACAGCACCACAATAGACTCAAGGTGACAGGTGGATGGACCAAAATAAAAGAGGATGATATTCTTCAAAAATTATTGAAGACAAAGAATAATATTCGTCAGATATTATTAAAGCAAGGGAATCAAACAAAGAGTTATTTCTACTTTTCTAAAAGCTGTTTGCCAATGCTAAATGTAATAATTTAGGTTTTGTTTGTTTTTTTGTGGCCTCCGGATCTATTTAAGTAGCCTCTCTCTTATGTTTGAGACAGGCCTGGAGCCATTTCTATATTTCTCTCTTGTAATCTACTCTTGTAAAAAATCCTTCTGCAATAAATAGTTTTAAATAAATTTGGAGTATCAAAGTTTTACTACAAGACAATCTTGGATTCACCTTTCTGGTTAGTCTACTTCCTTATACTTTATTTTATTTGTAAGCCTAATGCAAGGCTAATTCGTTAATATCACATAGTATCCTCATGGAAGCAGTATTATGATCAGCAAATCATAATCAGATATGAGTAAATCAGATATGAGTTGAAAAAAAAAAAAAGAGTCCGGAGAAAAAGGCAAAGTCGTGTTTTAGCCCTGCTTTTATAACCACGGTGTTGTTTTAGGGCGTTTTACTCATTGACTCCTGCCTGACTCTTCTAAATATTTTAAAATTTTCTTATTTTATTTTGTTTGGTCTTTAAATTTTACTCATATCGTTATGGTCCTGCATGACATGTGGTATCAGAGCCTTGAAATACTATGTGATATTAATTCGATTTTTTTTATGAGTATATTCAATAGATTTAAAAACAGTAATAAACAATTGATTAAGAACCAGTTAATAGAAGAATATGAAATACCAAAAAATTTAGACCTTCTTAATAAATGGACTATTCCTAGTATCAAACCTAAATTCATTTATGAATTAGGAACTTTTGAAGAATTAGGTTTTATCCAAACTGTTAAAACTACAGAAGAGAATTTAACTATGAATGAAGATGACATGACAGTTCAGTTAATAACTCCACAAGATATTAATAAATACAAACATATTTATAATTACTTGCATATTGGTTTAGTGCAAATTGCTTTTAAACCATTAACATTACAAGGATTACCTGAAAGTTTTTTAGCAGTTCTTAGGGACGCTAGAAATAAAAATTGGAAACAATCTTTAATGGGTATAATAGAATCTAGTTTGTCTCATGGACCGGTATATTTTAATGTTTACCCAAATTTACAACTTTCTTTGTCTGATAAGAATATTTTTCAAGCATTAACATTAAATGTCAAAACTCATGGTTATAATTATTTACCAGGATCGGAAGTAATATGTATATGTTATCGTATATATTTTAAACCATTAAAAACGATGAATCCTAAATGTAAGAAAGTAAATAAACCTATAAATGAAACAATTTTAATAGAAAGTAATTTCGATATGTCAAAAATTACAACTAGAAAAGCCATAAATTGGGATGAAATAAAATTTCCCCAACACTGGATTTTAGAAGATAATATACCACCCACGCCTTTAATAAATAATAATATAGAAAGTATTATACAAACTTCTGATGGGGCCGTTACTATAGAATTTAACAAGGAAATAGAATATGAACACAACCTAATAAAACGAACAAGATCGGCAAGATCTTCACATTCATACATATCACCATTAGATTATAATGTAGAAGTCCCCTCTACTCGTGCTTCTGTTGATATCAGAAAAATAAATAATCTAAATATACATGATGATATTGTGTATGAGGCGGAGGCATCTACTCCTTCTGAAATGAATTTTACAGTTTAATGGATTTAGACGAAAAAATAGATTTTAGCCCTGGTTCTCAGGCAAGAAAAATTATTTCAGAAGAATTTTATTCAACTAAATGGACATTTTTTAAAGATTGGTTATTTAAAAATTATTCTAAAGAGGAGTTACAAGAGATACAAAATACATTTTATGAACATTTATCCTCTATAAATCAGATTATACATTTTATTCCTTGGTTTACTTATACTTTTCTACATGATATTCACAACATAGAAAGAGATTATACTCTATCAGGAGACAAGATAATAACAAGCATATTTCCACCTCAAATCCCTTTTACAATTACAAATAACAACGTTACCATAAAATTTTCAGCTTATCAAAAACTTTTTGAAGAAAAGACTCCTACTGTAGATATAAATCATATTAATAGTATGATCCAACAATTAAATTTCCATAATTTATATTCTATAATAATAGGAGAACAATTAATGGATTTACATAAAAAAATAGAAAAAATAAATAGTCAGAAAGAGATAATAATAAAAAGAAAAGAGAAAGAAAAACAAATAAACGCTACTATTCAACCACCACCAAATATTACTGGTTATAAATTAAAAAACTACGATTATATGCTAGATATTATACAAGAACAAATGAAAAAACTACATATTAATACCATAAATAAAGACTCGGATGATGAGTCAGACATAGATGAGGCCCAAATAAATAAAATTAATAATTACGACAGTAAATTTGCTAGAAAGCCTGTCCAAAGATTATATTATTATCCAAGACCAAGTCCCCAAGATGTCCTACACGAGGAACAAGAATATGAAATTAATAATAGTTACAGTGGTAAAAATGTTTATGAATGGAATCTAGATGGATATACTGAAAGACAAATATATAATATGATTCATAGAATGTTAATGTATAGCACAATTGCTAAAAATACAGGAAATAGTGATAAACAAGTAGCTAACATGCTAATTGCCGGATTCACTGGCCAATTAAAAGGCTGGTGGGACAATTATGTTGATGAAAAAACTCAACAAGCTATTCTTAATACAGTAAAAACAGAAAATGGAATAACTACTCCCAATGTGGTATACACTCTTACTTGTACCATAATAGAACATTTTACAGGAAGATGGTCAGATAATTCTGAAAACATTCGTACCTTATTAAATGGATTATTTTGTAAAACTCTTACGTCCTTTCGATGGTATAAGGATACTTTTTTAAGTAGAGTTATGGAGCTTAATGATTGTAATAGTGTTTATTGGAAATCAAAATTCATAGATGGTTTGCCAAATCTTTTTGCTGAAAGAGTTAAAAACCAACTAAGAATAGATAATACAATTCCTTACGAAGATTACACATATGGAAAATTAATAGGAACTTGTATCCAGGAAGGTTTGGCCCTATGTAGTGAAATAAAACTCAACCATCAAATAAAAACCCAACATCTTAATGAAAAAAGACAATTAGGAGAATTTTGTGATCAGTTCGGAATAGAAACCAGTAAAAATAAGAAGAAACAGAGAAAAGAATTCCAACAGAAAAAAAGATTTTATAAGAGAAAACATAACGATTTTAATAGAAAAGATAAACACATAAAAAAGAAATTTATTAAAAAGGAAAATAAAAAACCTCCTACTTGCTTTTCATGTGGAAAAACTGGTCATTATGCTAATAAATGCAGAAATAAAAAAATAAAGAAACAAATTAATAATATGGATATAAGTGAGGACATAAAACTTCAATTAATAAATTTAATAGATAATTCGTCAGACGGAGAGGAAATCTCAGACAATAATTCTGATATCAACATAACAGATTATGATTCTAATTCAGATTCTGAAGAAATTGAATGTAATTGTGATAATCTAGAACAATGTTCATGTAACATGGATCATCAATTATATCTAATCCAATCTCAATTTAAAGAAGATTTAACCATAAATGTAATTAGTAATGATATTGCAGACTTATTAAAAGAAGTAAATGATCCAGAAATAAGGCAGAAGATACTAGAAAATTTAGCTATCAAAGAGTTACATACACTAAGTTCTCAAGAGCTTAGCAAGTTAATTAGGGATGCAGACAATGATACTATTCAATGGACTACCAGCACTGGATCTTCAAATCAGATCGATGTGGAAGCCCTAGCAAGAAATTTTGTGATTCACCTAATTGCAAAACTTTTGTCTTCTAAGAGAGATGAAGAACTCTTCAGATACTTGTTAGGTGGTATTCGACTATTACATTCCCTGTGTGATCTTGCACCCCGCAACAACAAACTTGAACAGATTTTGCTTGATGATCTGAAAATATCTGAACAGATGCTTGATTTGATCTTTTACCTAATCACTGTTCTTGCTAGCTTTAAAAAGGAAAGTCAACTTGCTCTGGTGCATTCAGCACTGTTGGCCTGCAGTCTGTATCTGTTAACAGCCTTTATTTCTTCACAATGGAATGAACTTGCACTAGTCCTTCTTGCACACCCTAAGGTTGATATATTTTTGCCTGTAGCTTTTGCTGCTGTCCACATAGACATTCAGTTTCTTCAAGTGAGGTTGTCTCAGTTTACTGATACTGGCATGCGGTCAAATCTTGCTGAAGTCAACCGTCTGTGTCAGCATTGTGAAGCTTCACTTCAATTTCTTCAGTCACTTTGCCAACAAAGATTCTTTCGTGAGCGCCTCGTTAAAAATAAGGAACTATGCGGAGAAGGTGGCATACTTTTATTGGCTCATGACATCATGAAATTACCATTCTGTGAAGAATCGTATCTTATGGCTGTTGTTTCCAGGCTAAAGTCAAAAGTCTTGTCTATTCTACTGCATCTTTGTGAAGTAGAAAGCGTCTCTTTCTTGGATGTGGCTGCCAGCACTACTGCGGGTTTGACTTTAGCAAAGTCAACTATATTCCAGGTTCTTGAATTGTTGAAGACAATGTTTCGTGGAGATCTGAATGGGCTTGCTGCTTTCTCTGACAAAACCTATCCACGTGGACTTCTGCAACTTAATGCAATGCGATTAACATACATTCTCTCTGATGATTCTAACTTTAGATCTTACATCACCATGAACTTTACTGAAGTTCTGACAACAATATTTTTGCTACCACATGCGGAGTTCCTGTCTAGTTGGTGCTCCTCTGAGTCTCGGCTTTCAGAAGAAGATGCAACTCTGGATTATGATTCGTTGGCAGCAGCCGGATGGGTTTTGGGTGTGCTGACATCATCAGATGTTCCGGAATCTACTTTTAATGCGTGTCGTGTTTCTCGGACTTCTTATGCGTTTCAGAGAACATCTTTACTTGTTAAAGTTGTAGCAAATCTCACTTTTTTTATTCCGGATTTATATAAAGAGGAGAAGGATCTCTTCCTTAATACATTCCTGCAGTGCTTGCAGAAGGAAATTCCTAATTTACCATATGGAGTTTCTAATGATGCTGGAGCTGAAAAGGCTGCTGTCATTAGCCAAAACCTGCGTTCCCTATTGGTTCATGCAGAATCATTAATTCTTGGATTCCTTAATCAGGATGATGTACAGCTGTTTAGGGTATTCATTTCTCAGCTGGATCCACTAATTACTCCAGAATCCAATATCGACAAAACCGAAGAGGGTAACGTTGGGAATCAAGGATCTCCAAATCCACATGGAAACGAGAACAAGGGCGTTTCTGACAATTCAGTTGTGGAAGAACTGAACCAGTTAAATATAGATCCATCTAATGCTTTAGTTAGGCAAGAACACCGGATTGATTTGCCTCAAAGTTTTAATGCTAGGGTTTTTCATGAAAGCGAAGGAGATGGTCAAAACATTGAAACAAATGGATTGGATTCAAATGGCATGGCAAGTGAGGAAAAACAGCTGAGAAAAAGGAAACGCAACATAATGAATCACATGCAAGTAACCATGATTGAACAAGCTTTACAGAATGAGCCTGACATGCAGAGGAAAGCTGCCTCAATTCAAATATGGGCTGATAAACTTAGTCTTCATGGTTCTGAAATTTCTGCCTCGCAGCTCAAGAATTGGTTGAATAACCGTAAGGCGAAACTAGCACGTGCGGCTGCTAAGGATGCGCGTGTGGCTTCAGGCGGGGAGAAGCAAGGTGGGGGGTCAGGAACGGACCCGGTTTCCGACACGCCGGAGAGTCCTGATGAGTTCTTTGACCAGGCTCCATCTGGTTCTGGTGGTCAAGGTCAAGGAAGTCAACACAACAGAAACTTGGAAGCCCAATATGTTATGCATACAGATGGAGAAAAGAATATGAAATACCAAAAAATTTAGACCTTCTTAATAAATGGACTATTCCTAGTATCAAACCTAAATTCATTTATGAATTAGGAACTTTTGAAGAATTAGGTTTTATCCAAACTGTTAAAACTACAGAAGAGAATTTAACTATGAATGAAGATGACATGACAGTTCAGTTAATAACTCCACAAGATATTAATAAATACAAACATATTTATAATTACTTGCATATTGGTTTAGTGCAAATTGCTTTTAAACCATTAACATTACAAGGATTACCTGAAAGACAAATATATAATATGATTCATAGAATGTTAATGTATAGCACAATTGCTAAAAATACAGGAAATAGTGATAAACAAGTAGCTAACATGCTAATTGCCGGATTCACTGGCCAATTAAAAGGCTGGTGGGACAATTATGTTGATGAAAAAACTCAACAAGCTATTCTTAATACAGTAAAAACAGAAAATGGAATAACTACTCCCAATGTGGTATACACTCTTACTTGTACCATAATAGAACATTTTACAGGAAGATGGTCAGATAATTCTGAAAACATTCGTACCTTATTAAATGGATTATTTTGTAAAACTCTTACGTCCTTTCGATGGTATAAGGATACTTTTTTAAGTAGAGTTATGGAGCTTAATGATTATAATAGTGTTTATTGGAAATCAAAATTCATAGATGGTTTGCCAAATCTTTTTGCTGAAAGAGTTAAAAACCAACTAAGAATAGATAATACAATTCCTTACGAAGATTACACATATGGAAAATTAATAGGAACTTGTATCCAGGAAGGTTTGGCCCTATGTAGTGAAATAAAACTCAACCATCAAATAAAAACCCAACATCTTAATGAAAAAAGACAATTAGGAGAATTTTGTGATCAGTTCGGAATAGAAACCAGTAAAAATAAGAAGAAACAGAGAAAAGAATTCCAACAGAAAAAAAGATTTTATAAGAGAAAACATAACGATTTTAATAGAAAAGATAAACACATAAAAAAGAAATTTATTAAAAAGGAAAATAAAAAACCTCCTACTTGCTTTTCATGTGGAAAAACTGGTCATTATGCTAATAAATGCAAAAAAAAAAATAAAGAAACAAATTAATAATATGGATATAAGTGAGGACATAAAACTTCAATTAATAAATTTAATAGATAATTCGTCAGACGGAGAGGAAATCTCAGACAATAATTCTGATATCAACATAACAGATTATGATTCTAATTCAGATTCTGAAGAAATTGAATGTAATTGTGATAATCTAGAACAATGTTCATGTAACATGGATCATCAATTATATCTAATCCAATCTCAATTTAAAGAAGATTTAACCATAAATGTAATTAGTAATGATATTGCAGACTTATTAAAAGAAGTAAATGATCCAGAAATAAGGCAGAAGATACTAGAAAATTTAACTATCAAGGAACATAATATAAAAGAAGAAGGAATTTATTCAATGAAAAATGTACATAATATGTTAAGAGAAAGAAGAAATAAAAATTCTACTAATATACCTACAGTACAGGACTTACAAGATGAAATTCAATCTCTAAAACAGGATATATCCAAAATAAAAAAGGATCAATTAATAAATAATCAAAGAATTGATAAATTAGAAAAATTACAAAGTAACCAGGATGCTAGTGCTAGCAATAATACTGATAATAATTTTCTTCAATCAATGGAACTAGTAATATCTAGAAAATGGCATGTTACAATTAATCTATTTATTACTTACAACTATCAAAGGAATTTTGTTGCCCTAATAGACAGCGGAGCAGATCTAAATTGCATAAGAGAAGGATTAATACCTACAAAATATTTTCAAAAATCGACACATACGTTAAGAGAAGTATCAGGTTCCAAATTAGATATTAGATATAAACTAACAGACGCAAAAATTTGTACAGAAAATGTCTGCATACCTATTAATTTCACTATAATTAAAAATATGACTAGTAATACAATGATTCTAGGAAATCCCTTTTTGGAAATGATATTACCTCTAACTATTGATAAAAATAAAATTGTAGGATCCTATAAGAATAAACCTGTTATATTAAATTTTGTCTCTGACCCTTACTCTATCTGGATCAATGAGTTAAATTTAAAGAAAAACCAAATAAACTTTCTTAAAGAAGAAATTAGAACGGTTCAAATAGATGAACAGTTAGAACAACCTAAATTACAGGAAAAAATTAAACTTTTAACAAACCAATTTCCTTAAACATTTGTAATGACCATCCTAATGCTTTTTGGGAAAGAAAAAAACATATAGTTATGCTTCCCTATGAGGAAGGTTTCAATGAAAAACAAATTCCTACCAAGGCAAGACCATGTCAAATGAATTTTGAATATTTGAATATATGTAAAAAGAAATAACTTCCTTATTAGATAAAAATTTAATACAACCTTCTAAATCTCCATGGTCGTGTACCGCGTTTTATGTTAACAAACATTCAGAACAAGAAAGGGGAGTACCAAGACTTGTTATCAATTATAAGCCACTTAATAAGGTCTTAAAATGGATTAGGTATCCTATTCCTAATAAAAAGGATTTATTAGATCGTTTACATGACTCTTTAATATTCTCAAAGTTTGACTTAAAATCAGGGTATTGGCAAATTCAAATTGATACCAAGGATAGATATAAAACGGCCTTTAATGTTCCTTTTGAACAATACGAATGGAATGTTATGCCATTCGGCCTAAAAAATGCCCCTTCGGAATTTCAAAATATAATGAATGATATATTTAATCCTTATAGCAATTTTATTATTGTTTATATAGATGATATTCTAGTATTCTCAAAAAATATCCAAGAACATTTTGATCATCTGCATACTTTTGAAAAAATAATAATAAATAATGGTCTGGTAATATCACAATCTAAAATGTCGTTATTTCAAACAAAGGTAAGATTTTTGGGTCATAATATTGAAAAGGGACAAGTCATCCCTATACAAAGAAGTATAGATTTTGCTGCAAAATTCCCAGATGAAATAAAAGATAAGACTCAGCTACAAAGATTTTTAGGTAGCCTGAATTATATATCACCTTTTTATAAAGATTTATCAACCGATAGTGCAATTCTTTATGACAGGTTAAAAAAGAACCCTGGTGCTTGGACTAGTAATCATACCCAAGCGGTTAAAAGAATAAAAGACAAAGTTAAAAATCTACCATGCTTATCTTTGGCTAATCCTAATTGGGAAAAGATAGTTGAAACAGATGCCTCTGAAATAGGGTTTGGAGGAATTTTAAAACAAATTCACCCTAACAATAAGCATGAATTTTTAGTCAGGTTTCATTCTGGAAAGTGGACTCCTAGTCAAAAGAATTATTCTACTACTGCTAAAGAAATTTTAGCATTAGTAAAATGTATTCTTAAATTTCAAGATGATTTATATAATCAACATTTCATTATAAAAACAGATTGTCAGGCAGCTAAATTCATGTTTAATAAAGACTTCAAACATGATGTTTCTAAACAAATGTTTACCAGATGGCAAGCTACATTAGCATGTTTTGATTTTGAAATTCAATACAAAAAAGGAAGTGATAATAGTCTTCCCGATTTTTTAACTAGAGAATTTCTGAATGAGTTATAGCCAACTAAGACAGTTATCTTATGATATCATTAATACAAAAAATTTAATTAATAAAGCGGAAATTGAATTAACCAACTTAACAAATGAACCATATTTCAGGAGAACAGTAATAAATTTAAGATTAATTGGTTTAAGAATTCAGCTCAAAAATCTTGAGAACAAACTTATATTACTCTTAAATTGACATTTTCAGGTAAATTTCTTATGGGTGACTCAAGATTACAAGTAAAGAATAATATTCATTGTAAACATATCAGGGTCTTAGAATCGTTTATCAAACGAAGTAAAAAAGATAAAGATAGACCAATAACAAGAACTGACATGAAACGATATAACATTATGTTCAAATATCTTCATAAGAAAATCTCAGAAACTACATGCTAATTTGCAGGATGAATTCCAATCGAGGAAGAGGCCATCCTTCATACAGGGGTGGTTATGGTAGAGGCCGAGGAAATCCTGCGGCTTCAAGCAGTTCTTATAGAACTGGAAATTCGTCACAAGCAGATAATCAGTCTCTTCCAATTCCTGGAAGCCCATTATATGAGGAGTTTAAAGCATTTTTAGAATCAAAAAAGGAAAATATTCCTAGCTTCGCCCAAATGATCACAGATGGTGAAACCATCAACGATAATTTTGAATATAAGGAATCATCTCATAGAGATACTATTATTATCTTAGAACATAAAGATATAATGCTTTATTTTGAAAATAATGATGATCCATGGTTTTTAATGACAAGATACTTGGATACAGCAACATACGCTGGATATTCTTATAAACAAAGATTATATTATGAGAATATTTTGAAAATAACTGGATCAGTTGAATTTTCTCATTTTACATCCGGAGGTAATACCAGTGTTTACAATTTTAGCAAAGCCATTATCAAAAAGATCATATCACCTGAGGAATGGGGATTGAGTACCCTTAAAGAAAAAGAGTTTATACTCCCTCCTTCGAAGATACCAATGAAATTTACATACTGGGATTATATTGAAAGCTTTCATAAAGCCTTCCTATATGAGAACCCTCAAAGAAAACATACTTGGTTCTTTAAAGTATGTGAAAAGGTTTATAACCAAAGTAAAGATATACCAAATTGGTTCAGTAATTGGTGGATCTCATATGGCCCAAGTATAGATATTCTCCCTGAGGAACCATTTAGAAAATTATATGGGGAATGGTTACCCGTCTCTCCTAGATACCAAAACCAAGCCGTTCCTTTGAAATCAGAAGGGTTGGAAGCAATATCTTCCATGCATTTTTTCATGGAATTTTCTATTCCGTGGATTTGGAAATGGTCCCCACATGTGGATTATACTCCCTCCAAATTTCCTTCTCTACAAAGGTCATATTTTACTAAATTCTGGCCTAAAATGCTTCATAAAAATCCAGAAACAAA